GAATATCTTGCTCTGTAATGAAAAAACAAGACAGAAATACTAAGACACGTTTAGTGGAGATGCAAAATTAACATATGAAGACTTGTTTTCTGAGAAATGGAGCAAAATTAAGTTTATTCTGAGAATAAGAATGAATATCTGTCAGTGGAGAATGAATTGATTTTTCTAAGCCAGCTGGCAGATATTTGTTCTTGTTTTAGTCAAACTCTTCATTTTGATCGGTTTCTCAAGACGTTATTGAGGTCCGTAGGAAACATTCAACATTTTCTTTCTTAAATTTCCTTGGTTTTAAAAACGTTGAAACTTCATACATGTGGCTGAGAATTGAACAAATAGCTGTAATCTGGCTCCGATGAAGACACGAATCGTGTCTTTATGGTGTTTTTCTGCCGATTAAGAGATTAAACCATCACTCGTATGGTTGTGGAAAGCAAAAATGAAACGAAATGCAAGATATTTTCTGAGAAAGTCCAGCGAAACAGACACTATTTCTTTGGAACGAGCAGCCCAGAATTAGCAAGAAACAAGTATTAGGTTGCATTCAACATATGTGTGTCCCTGCAGCACAAAAGCAGTGTTAAGTCGCTGGGGGATATTTGTAGCAATAGCCAACAATACATTGTATGGGTCACAATTATACATTTCTCTTTTATGACAAAAATCATTAGGATATTAAGTAAAGATCATGTTCCTTGAAGATATTTTGTACATTTAATACCCTAAATATATAAAAACGTTGTAATATGCATTGCTAAGAACTTCATTGGAACAACTTTAAAGATGATTTTCTCAATATTTAGATTTTTTTGCACCCTCAGATTCCAGATTTTCAAATATTGTCCAATCCTAACAAACCATACGTCAACGGAGAGCTTATTTATTCAGCTTTATTCAGATGATGCATCTCCTTTTGTTCTTCCACAGCATCTCAGGCGCCGAACTCTTTGTTTTCGTAGGTTCCTGGCTAAGTGTGCACAGCTTTCTGTTCCCCCGAGGAAGCATGGAGACATTATGCACGTGTCCCGTCAGTTCAAAGCAGAGAGGACGAAGTCCGAGCACGGCAGGAAGACGCTTGAGGCTGTAGCGGTGATGACAGAAAGACTTAATTATGAATTATAAAGCAGATAGTTCCGGTTCTTCATTCTGTGAAAAATTATGTGTTTTTTTGAACATTAAAGCATGTCAACATATTCTGTTACACCAAATAATGATCTTTAAAAAAGCATCATATGACCCCTTTAATATTTGAAATGTATATTAGTCTATGGTGGTATTTCTGTTAAAAGCATAGGCAAAAGTTCCTCTTATAGGCCTAAGTGTTCTGTGGGCTGTTGGTTTTTTCTCATTTTATTCAGCTGCAACAGAATGTCTTGCAAAAAGACACAATAAATGCTGGACATTTAAAAGTTTGACTTTTTTTATTTTATTGGAAACTAGGAATCGATAAAATTCTAACAATACCCAACCCTACTCAAATGGTATTCGGCACTAAAAAATGTACGCATTTTTATCTCACAATTCTGACTTTTTTCTTGCAATTACAAGTTTGTCTTTCAGTTCTGACTTTTTGTTAACATCATGGAATAAAAAAATAAAAATGGTAAAGTTGTGACTTTTTATCTTACAATTCAGACTTTTTTTTCTTTGCAATTATGAGTTCATATCTTGGACTCACATATATTATGTAAACAAAAACTTTTATTTTGGATGTGATTAATCATGATTAATCGTTTGACGGCACTAAAAAATGTACGCATTTTTATCTCACAATTCTGACTTTTCTTGCAATTACAAGTTTGTCTTTCAGTTCTGACTTTTTGTTAACATCATGGAATAAAAAAATAAAAATGGTAAAGTTGTGACTTTTTATCTTACAATTCAGACTTTTTTTTTCTTTGCAATTATGAGTTCATATCTTGGACGTTATATTGTAAGCACGCAATTTGCAGTTATTTTACAAAATTGTGAATTTATAATGCAATTCTGCTTTAGTTGCAAGAGTTTATATCTTGCATTTTAGACTTTATTTCTCAGAATTGCTTGTTATAAATGTAGAATTGTGAGTTGTTTTTCACAGATTTGCACATTTATAACACAATTATGCATTTATATCTCTTATTTCTGAGATTGCATCTCACATTTTGAACTTTTTTTCTCAGAATTGCAAGGAAAACGTTTTAATTGTGACATAAAAAGTAAATTACCGTCTCCATTTTTTTATTCCCGTGGTGGAAATGGGATTCTATTGCTTGCTGCTTCAATGCTGATTTCAATTAAAACAACAACAAAACGTTGTATTACAGAAATGTGAGACTGATGAAAAACGTTAGACATCACCGGTTTGTTGCATTGCATTGAGTTTGGGTGAAATGGGACATAGAAAAGATCATCTTTGAGTTATTTGGTTGCGATCTGAGTAATATCAATCTTGATTTTATCGCTTTGGGATTCACTTTTGGTTTTATCACTATGACCACAAGTAGTGTTTTGAATTATAGTGTTGCTTTTAATCAATAAAACGGTACTGACAAGTTAGCCTTAAAAGCCTTAATGCGTAGTTTGTGGTTAATGAATCAGCCGAGTGAAGCTTAGAAACCTTTGTGAATCATTTGTTTCGAATCAATAGTTCGGAGCGCGTATCAAACCGCCAAAGTCACGTGATTTCAGTAAACGAGGCTTCGTAACGTCACAAGTGTTTCAAAATGTATCATGTTTCAAAACATCAGTGGTTCGTATAACTCGTATTTAATGATTTGCTAATTGCTTTTAAAATAATAACTTAAATAAAATGCTTACAATGGGTAAGTATGTATGCATATGTTATTTCCTTGAGTTTTTGTTGTAGTTACACAGTCGCCAGCGTGTGGCACGCAGTGATGTTCAGTAGGGTCACACTGTAAATCTGTTATTCAAAATATAATTTAACTTTGGATTTTGGAAAGTATATTTATTCAGCTTTCAGATGATGCATAAATCTCAATTTCAGAAAAATGGACCCTTATGGCTGTTTTTGTGCTCCAGGGTCACGTTTCTCAGAAGACAAGACTTCTAATCTAAAATACTAAAAAAAACAACCAAAATACATCACTTTTCTGCAGTGTGCATCAAAATTATTTCCATATCTAGTATTCGAGAAGCTGGTTTTTGTTAAATTAATTACAAAGTAATGGAGGTCTATTGAAAGTTGTGTTTTCAAACTGAAGTGTTGCAAACTTATGAGACCGATGCATTGCTTTCCTTTCAATTTATTCATAAGATCTCTTTACTTGGTCTTCAAAAGGACCTCCATGAACTGATTTACTGACTCCCGTGTGTTTGGTCCTCCAGGAGCACCTCATGAAGATCGTCCCTGATCCGCCGGCAGTGGTTCGAGCGCTTCAGAAGGCCCCTGTCCTCGAGGATGTGAGGGCCTTTCTGGAGCTCGCACATAAACAGGTGGATGCAGTGCAAGCCGCTCATAGAGACACAGCCCTGGACTGACTAAACTTTACGTGCAGACGACGGCTGATAAACAAAATAACTGCTTGTTTATTTGAAAACGACAAGTTTGCATTGAAAACTAGACACAGAAATGACATTCCTTTCATGCATTAATGCTGCAATATCAAGCGCTGGTTTTGTACTTTCAGTTTGAAAACTTTCAGTGTAGGGTACATTACTACTGCATAATAGTAGTTATGCTAAATTTAAGCCTTAAATTACCAGAAAGCCTGTCATTTGCTCTTAAGTTCCTAAAATGCAAGTTCTACAATGCAACGCAATTAAATCCTAGATTAAAACAATCATATCTGTTACAGAATGGCTCCTGTTTTAAATGTTTTGGTAATAATCTGGGTGAAAACTTTGTGTACACTTTCAGGAAAAAAAGGTACAAAAGCTGTGACTGGGGGGTGGTACCTCTTCAGAAGGTACACATTTGTACCTAAAAAGTCCATATTGGTACCAAATTAGTGCCTGAAGTGTACATATTAGTATCTAAGGATGCGTTCACACTTGTAAAAAACAACCAAACATGACAAGTGTGAATCAAGTTTGCATTGAAAACTAGACACAGAAATGACATTCCTTTCATGCATTAATGCTGCAATATCAAGCGCTGGTTTTGTACTTTCAGTTTGAAAACTTTCAGTGTAGGGTACATTACTACTGCATAATAGTAGTTATGCTAAATTTAAGCCTTAAATTACCAGAAAGCCTGTCATTTGCTCTTAAGTTCCTAAAATGCAAGTTCTACAATGCAACGCAATTAAATCCTAGATTAAAACAATCATATCTGTTACAGAATGGCTCCTGTTTTAAATGTTTTGGTAATAATCTGGGTGAAAACTTTGTGTACACTTTCAGGAAAAAAAGGTACAAAAGCTGTGACTGGGGGGTGGTACCTCTTCAGAAGGTATATTGGTACCAAATTAGTGCCTGAAGTGTACATATTAGTATCTAAGGATGCGTTCACACTTGTAAAAAACAACCAAACATGACAAGTGTGAACACACAAAAGGTGTTCAATACAAAGTGAACCTTTTGAAAGTGCACCGCCACAGTGACAGCTTTTGTATCTTTTTTTTTCCTGAGAGTCTAGGGCACATTTCTTTTGCATAATATAAGATAATATTCTTTATGCTTAATTTAAGCCTGAAATGACCAGCCTTTAGTCACTGGAAGGAAAGCCTTGCATTTGCTGTTAAGTTCCTTAAATACAATGCATCACAATTAAATCCCAAGAGATTGTTTTGCTAATATTCTGGGTGAAAACTTTCTATGTACACTCTCAGGAAAAAAAGCTACAAAAGCTGTGACTGGGGGGGCGGTACCTCTTCAGAAGGTACACATTTGTACCTAAAAAGTCAATATTGGTACCAAATTAATACCTAAAGTGTACATAATAGTATCTAAAAGGTACAAAAGTGCACCGCCACTGTGACAGCTTTTGTACCTTTTTTTTCCGAAGGTACACATTTGTACCTAAAAAGTCAATATTGGTACCAAATTAATACCTAAAGTGTACATAGTATCTAAAAGGTACAAAAGTGCACCGCCACTGTGACAGCTTTTGTACCTTTTTTTTTTCCTGAGAGTGTAGGGCACATTTCTTTTGCATAATATAAGATAATATTCTTTATGCTTAATTTAAGCCTGAAATTACCAGCCTTTAGTCACTGGAAGGAAAGCCTTGCATTAGGGGTTAAGTTAAGTTCCTTAAATGCAATGCATCACAATTAAATCCAAGATTAGAACTTGAAGCCTCAGTCGATCGCTCGAGATGCTGTCCGTGTTTTCTGCTTGTAGTCAGTGTTCTTCATTTGTCTGGAATCTCAATCTCAGATCCTAAAACTCAGAGTCTCTTCTTCGCAAAGACTTTCTTCGCAAAGACTCCGACAGCTCCTCGTTGAAGACGCGCTCGATCGTCGAGACCAGCGAGGCGCGAACCGTGCGGCCGAGTCCGCGAGCCGCGAACACGTACAAGACGGGGTTGAGCGCGCTTTTTATGTAAACCATAAACAGCGCCACGTACGCCGCGCCGATCGCTCCTTCTTTGACCTTCTTCCAGTCGGGCCGATCGTGAGAAAAGGCCCTTAGAAAGCGGCAGGTGAAATACGGCACCCAGCAGGTGAGGAAGAGGAGCATGGTGAGGAAGAGTACGCGATAGAGGCGGGTCAGACGGTGGGTTGTGTAACCCGGTCCGGATGGCGAGGTTGGGGAAGACATTGTGCTCTCGGCTTTCTTTGCGCAAAATATCACGGCGATATTGCACGACAAGAAGATCACCAAAGGTAGCAAGAATCCCGCCACGGTCTCCAACACGTTTAAGGCTTGCCCTACTCCCAAATCGCTTTCAATGCAAGCCTTACGGTTTGCCCAGAGAATGACTTTGGCTGTTTCAATGTATGGAGCGGCGAAAACCGCTGCCAACACCCATATTGCGGCGCAAGCCACTGGCACGACCCAACGAGGGCGTCTCAATCGAGCCCAAACTGGTCTGAGGAGACACAAGCAGCGCTCCACCGCGACGGCGCACAGCAAGAACGCGCTCGCGTACAATCCCAGGCATCGCAAATAAATCACCAGCTTGCACACAGGCTCCCCCAACGTCCAAGTGAAGTGGTTCGCTAAGTAAGATAGCATCAGCGGCGTCCGCAACAGCAGCACCAAATCCGCCAGCGCCAGGTTCACTACGTAGATCCGGAAGCTGTCGGCGCTCTGCGTTTTGCCGGTCACTCCTTTGTTGCGGCACCAAACTCGAACCCCCAGCGCCCAGACCACCAGAGCGTTTAGAGAGACGCCCACGATGAAGATCATCACGGTCACCGTCATCTGCAGCACACGCATGCCCTCGCTGGGGTACACGGTGGAGTTGGTGTGGTTGGAGGTGTTCGGCGCTGGGGTAGACATTGGGTCTCTGTGGAAATACAGGGGAAAATTCACATCAGTGTTCATTTAGCACATTTTAGTTTTAGTTTTAAGCCCTATTCGGACAGCAATTGTGACCCTGGAGCACAAAACCAGTCATAAGGGTAAAAAAAGTTTTTTAAATTGAGATTTATGCATCATCTGGAAGCTGAATAAATAATCTTTCCATTGATGTATGGTTTGTTAGGAGAGGACAATATTTGAAATTATCAAAAGATTTACAAAATATCTTCATGGAACATGATCTTTACTTAATATCCTAATGATTTTTGTCTTAAAAGAGAAATGTATAATTGTGACCCATACAATGTATTGTTGGCTATTGCTACAAATATCCCCCAGCGACTTAACACTGCTCTTGTGCTGCAGGGTCACAGATGTTTATCATATGGATGTCTGTAGAAATACATTTACATATCACCTCTAAACTCGTGGATTCGGATGGCGATTTATTCACAGTGGAGAAGCGAGTTCTGTGTTCCTACGAACCCGGGAACTTATTATTTAAATCTCCTGTTTAAAAATAGATGCGCTATAGTTGTATATAATTATATGTGGCATAGTTAATAAATATATATATATTAGCGCTATCAATTAATAAAAATAAAAAAAACTAATTAATCGCACATTTTTCTGAAATTAATCGCGATTAATCCCACCTAACATTAACGTTTTTAAATATACTTTTATATTGCAATCGTTTTACATTCAATCTTCAAATTAATGTACAAACAACATAAAGACAGTATATTTGTTTAATGGCATCTTTTTTTTATGACTGAAGGCCAGTATCACTGATACCAATAATACTGTTTTTTTCCTAATATTTACCCATTGACTAGCCATTCAGCATTACAGTATAATTGAGAGCTATCATTTTTAACATTTATTAGACTTTAAAAATATAACTTCTAATTTAAGTGAACTTAAAACAATCTTCACATAAACCCATTATAATGTCATATTTCCCAGTGTCCTTCAGCAGAAATATACAGAAATTGAAATTAAAGTTATCAAACACTAAATATAGAATAAATTAAATATAGATGAATCCTTAAAGCTATAAAATAATTTTTTTCCCTCTTTTTTTGTATTCTTTGTCCTTTGATGAACAGACATCACAGCAGCTGGTTATTAGGTTATTTGGGCTGCTATTACTTTAAGAGCTGCTGCTGAACGTGACGCGGATCTGACACTCATCGTATTTTCTCTCAACTCTTTACCTTTTCTGACCCACTTCAAGTCTTAAAGTCTTTATTAATGAGCTGACGAGTTGAATCAGGTGTGTTAGATGAGTGAGACTGTTCTTAAATGTGACTCATATAAAATGTATTACATGCATGCACAGTTTTAAGGCAGCTTTAGTCGCCTTTTTGTAACTTCATGACTTAACTGACCACGACACCGAATGCACGTAGTTTATTTCGCGATTTAATATGAAATGATCAAGGCTACAGCGTGCGCCGGTGCCTTTGTGCGTGCAATTGAAGAGCAGACGCTTCGAGCACAGTACCGTTTTTAAATATACTTTAAGAGCTGCTGCTGAACGTGACGCGGATCTGACACTCATCGTATTTTCTCTCAACTCTTTACCTTTTCTGACCCACTTCAGGTCTTAAAGTCTCTATTAATGAGCTGACGAGTTGAATCAGGTGTGTTAGATGAGTGAGACTGTTCTTAAATGTGACTCATATAAAATGTATTACATGCATGCACAGTTTTAAGGCAGCTTTAGTCGCCTTTTTGTAACTTCATGACTTAACTGACCACGACACCGCATGCACGTAGTTTATTTCGCAATTTAATATGAAATGATCAAGGCTACAGCGTGCGCCGGTGCCTTTGTGCGTGCAATTGAAGAGCACACGCTTCGAGCACAGTACCGTTTTTAAATATACTTTTGTCAAGAGAAAAAGTGACCGAAGCAGTAGTTGTGAGTGGAGTGGCCAACCCTAGCTCCGCTCCCTGCGTTAATTGCATTAAATATTTTTAACTCGTTAAACTGAAATTATGAATCTATTCATCTATTAACCTGGTAATATGAATGATACTAAGATTTGAACATGCAATGTAGATACAACTCCTGTGTCTTCATCTCAAAATTAAATAAAACCACTTCTCATAAAGAAACAAGAACATGGTCCTCTTTCCAATGAAATATCTGTGGTTATAATATGCATTCTTTATAACAACTTGCATACAGCATCCTTCATTCTTCAATCCACTGAAGTGCTGTGAGTGATTTTCTCTCTGTTTTGTTGATTCATTAACAATAGGGACACAGACAACAGTAACTAAATGAGGCTGCTGCCCCTTTAAATCTATAACTACTGTATATTAAAACTATCAATATACTGGCGATATTCTCCCAACAGTTTATATTCACTTAAGACGTAACCGTGAATACTCGTCAAATCTGTCTGTATAGATTTTCGCAATTAGTTTTTTTCATTCAAAAATAGTTTTTATTTTGTGATCGTCTGAAAAAATGTCGTTGACAAATTATGATGCTTTTTTTTTTTTGTCAGCGAAACGTGTGCAGTCTGCTGGAAAACACGCGGTGCATGTTCATGGAAAGCATTTCGTTATGCTTGAGAAACACATCTATATGTTCTCTGGCGATAACATAAAGGAAGTTGCATGCAGTTTCCTCTTTTCAGAAACATTACGAAACGCTTTTTCAATGAAATCAAGTATAGCCTTGTCACAATACTTTCTGCATTATTTAAAGTAGGTGCTATATGAATAAAAACACACTTTAGGTCACCAGATGTGATTTAGGACATGCATGCATTTCTGCTGGAAGGCGAAGACTCAACTTGCATGTTCTGCAAGACTTTCCATTAAACATGCTTTATTAGAGTCTTAAAGTCTCTATTAATGAGCTGACGAGTTGAATCAGGTGTGTTAGATGAGTGAGACTGTTCTTAAATGTGACTCATATAAAATGTATTACATGCATGCACAGTTTTAAGGCAGCTTTAGTCGCCTTTTTGTAACTTCATGACTTAACTGACCACGACACCGCATGCACGTAGTTTATTTCGCAATTTAATATGAAATGATCAAGGCTACAGCGTGCGCCGGTGCCTTTGTGCGTGCAATTGAAGAGCACACGCTTCGAGCACAGTACCGTTTTTAAATATACTTTTGTCAAGAGAAAAAGTGACCGAAGCAGTAGTTGTTGGCCAACTGGCCAACCCTAGCTCCGCTCCCTGCGTTAATTGCATTAAATATTTTTAACTCGTTAAACTGAAATTATGAATCTATTCATCTATTAACCTGGTAATATGAATGATACTAAGATTTGAACATGCAATGTAGATACAACTCCTGTGTCTTCATCTCAAAATTAAATAAAACCACTTCTCATAAAGAAACAAGAACATGGTCCTCTTTCCAATGAAATATCAGTGGTTATATAATATGCATTCTTTATAACTTGCATACAGCATCCTTCATTCTTCAATCCACTGAAGTGCTGTGAGTGATTTTCTCTCTGTTTTGTTGATTCATTAACAATAGGGACACAGACAACAGTAACTAAATGAGGCTGCTGCCCCTTTAAATCTATAACTACTGTATATTAAAACTATCAATATACTGGCGATATTCTCCCAACAGTTTATATTCACTTAAGACGCAACCGTGAATACTCGTCAAATCTGTCTGTATAGATTTTCGCAATTAGTTTTTTTCATTCAAAAATAGTTTTTATTTTGTGATCGTCTGAAAAAAATGTCGTTGACAAATTATGATGCATATTTTTTTTTGTCAGCGAAACGTGTGCAGTGTGCTGGAAAACACGCGGTGCATGTTCATGGAAAGCATTTCGTTATGCTTGAGAAACACATCTATATGTTCTCTGGCGATAACATAAAGGAAGTTGCATGCAGTTTCCTCTTTTCAGAAACATTACGAAACGCTTTTTCAATGAAATCAAGTATAGCCTTGTCACAATACTTTCTGCATTATTTAAAGTAGGTGCTATATGAATAAAAACACACTTTAGGTCACCAGATGTGATTTAGGACATGCATGCATTTCTGCTGGAAGGCGAAGACTCAACTTGCATGTTCTGCAAGACTTTCCATTAAACATGCTTTATTAGACTCTCCTGGTTTTAATGCAACTAGGCAAAATTTTTATTCAATATAAGGTCCAATTCTCGCTATTACCAGACTTTTGCTTCACTAAACTAATTTGCTGCTTATTAATAATAAGGTAGTTGTTAAGTTTAGGTATTTAGATTTTGTTGCACCCTCAGATTCCAGATTTTCAAATATTGTCCGATCCTAACAAACCATACATCAATGGAGAGCTTATTTATTCGAAAAAATGGACATTTAAGACTGGTTTTATGCTCCAGGGTCACAATTTAAGTTTTTAGATGCACTGTCCCTTTAAATGCTAAAGTTGCATAAGGTCAGCATGTAAGCTGCAAACATGAATGATTCTGCAGATCATCTGAGAGTGACCACACGCACAATTTTTACTTGTTTGACCAGAATACAGGCGAAAAATCCCATATCTAGAGACCACCTGATAGGGGACTCTGATACAGAATTACCTGCTTTATCAGTGACTGAACACCTTTGCAGTGCTCTAGCAGATACAGGTGAAGTTTAGAGGTCATGCGACGTGATGCTGTGCATGTTCCTAGGAACAGTGAGTCGCAGGAATGTTAACTTTATCACCTGAAGGCGTAGCATTATTTCACCCAAAGCTGTCCTCCCATTCACAACCTGTTTACACACATCCATAACGCATTCCTGGTATGCGAACACACCTACAGCGCTGCTCATCTAGAACACGTTTGCTCCACGAGAGCCTTTCAGCGAACCTAAATTCTCTGACACGACTGATTTTGTGCTTCTTCATTTAGAGTCTAACAGATTAGTTACAGTTGAGATTTATTAGTGTGTCTTACCTTCTTGCAAGGCTGTGGTCGACTTGCATGCATTGACTCCGAGAGCTTTAGATCTGAGAGCTTTGGCGCTGATGGAGTGTAAAAACTCACCGGGGGAGTGTTTCTGTGCTTTAACCTATCAGTGGGAGGGTTTAAGCTTGACTCTGCCTTTCGATTTGATTGCAGCATTAATGGACAGCATGAAACTACAATCTAAATATAGTTTGCTGCACTGATTTACTGACTTTGTTTATTGCATATGCAGTTCAGAAAATGTGAGTACTTCATGAGGTCTAGGCTCAGTTGAGTGCAGAGGTATTTTTTTAAATGATACTTTCTTTGACAACTTACCAACATTTTAGAATTTAATTATTTATTTATTTTGAAGACAATATGAGCAGCGTTTGCTCCTGTAAACGTGTTGAAAAATTCTGTGTGGTTCCTCCAGTGTTATTTTAGTATCATTAAGATACTATTACAATCTTTATAAACAATATACTGTATATATTTATATAACCATTTTAAAGTTAAAGTTTTAGGTAGGTTCAAAGTTGGTTTTTAGTTGTTTTATTTTATAATTATTTTTCTTTCTTTCTTTTTTGCATTTTATTTCCTTTAACGGTCATTTCAAACAATTACATATTATTTTTAAGTTTTTATTTTGGTTTTAATTTATTTAATTTTTATTTTTTTATTTTGTTTATTTTTTGTCTTGACAAAAAAATTAAATTTTACTTTTTTCTTTTCTTTTTTTATATTTTATTTCCATTAACGTTCGTTCCAAATAATAAAATTTTCTTTTTCTGATTTGTTAGCTATATTTTTCATTTTATTTTTAAAGTTTTAGTAATTTTTGTTGTTTTTGTCATTTTCTTGTAATATAGTTTTTATTTTGGTTTTAATTCATTTATTTAATTTTTATTTATTTTATATTATCTTGACAAAAACAATTTTTTTTTTTTTTTTTTTTTTTACATTTTATTTCCATTAATGTTTTAATGTTTAACAAGACGCATGATTTGAGGAATCAAAGAGAACAAACGCTGTGCTACAATATTTAATACAAACCCATAACCCTAACTACACTAGTCAACATTTAAAGTGGATCAAAACCTTCATCTGAAGCCTAAAACCAAAATGCGGTCTTGTCTTAGAACAACTTTGATGAACTTGTTTGATCCACTTCAAATGTTGACTACTGTATATGCAATATTAACAGTGATTCTTACCTTAGCGGACGCTACTATTAAGGCAGTGAGGTCTCATTTATCAGGTGTAAACAGGTGTGAGCTGAAACTAGCAGAGGCTTGTCTGCGTTCTGTCCGTTTCTCGTAAGTGTTGAAGTGTGAGACATCGTGAGTTCAGTACGACTGAAACTTCCTTATCGATCAACCACGAGATCAGACTCAGCTGTTTTCAGATGTGTTGAGTTTGACTGATGGCATCAAACTCCTGTGGCTTGTTTATTTTTCTCACTTGCTGTGAGAAAGGAGTTCTTCGTTGTTCTCATGTAAATTTGGTGTTTTCAGTATATATGGGCCAAAGATGTTAAGATGTGCGCATCAAAAGAAATGTACAAAAGTGATTTTATGTCCATAGAAAGCACATTAAATGTAACTAACGTGTCTACTTTTAAGGTTTCAAATATGATTTTGGAGGATACAATGTTACAATTTGGTTGAAGTAATGTTACATTGTCATTCAGTGTAACTTAAAAAATTCAAACATGCTTATTCTGACGCGTACATGTTAAAATATATAAAAGAATAAGAGAGCATATTAAATTTTATTGTGTTTTAAATTAGTAAAAAATTATTACTGACAAATGGGCGAAACCTAGGATCGTGGCACATTTAAAAAAAAAAAAAAGTAAAATTACGACTAATTAGTATTTGGGGTGAAAGTAATTAGTCGTTTAATGCGTCATAAATTGATGTTTGTGTGTTGTAAATATGCCTGACAAGATTGTTACACCGAATGATATTTTAGTGGCTCTCTTCTGAAAATCAGGGGAAAATGTATGATATTTATTTTTTGCTCAGAAACACAAAAACAAAATTGCAATTAAATTAAACAGAAAACGTTTACATTTTTTTGGGGGGGAAAAACAACAATTTAAAGCAGTATTACACTTATTGTTTTTATGCTTAAACCCTTTTTCGTCTTTGACCCACGTACTTAATGTTGGTGGAGGAACCTCAGTTTGTGAGTTGTTTTGGGACTGTTTAGGTGGGATATGTTTGTGGTTATTAGTGCTCACAGGCTGTGTATTTGTTACTTTTTTTATATTAAACCATATTAATCGTTCAATTGATTTGTTGGTTTCAAACACTGAGCCACTGCTTGTCAACAAACACAAGTTTATGCAAAAAAATAAACATGCATAGAAATAATAATGTGAATTAATTTGACTCCCCTGTCATGTCTTCGATCAACATGACTAACAGTTTTATTCTTCAGGACTGTACTATCCGGTGGCCAGTACGTGTCATAGTGTTTTTCCATTTGTGTCGTTCCATTCGTCAGCAGTAGGTAGCGCTGCTGCATAAGTGAGACCGAAGCACATCAGTCTGTGGAAGTTAATCATGCATCATAATATTATAATTACCACTAAAACAGCTGTTGTTACATTAGAAGGTCGGATCTCGTTTAGTTTCTTGGCTGGAACACAAATGTTTGTCCTGATCCAGTTGGTATATTTCAGGAGGCTTAAGTCTAAAGACAGCACTGAATTAACTAAATTAACAGCATCCTTTTTAGTTCAGGTTAGTTTGGTGTTTGCAGGCGTAGGTTGTGTCTTGTATCGTGTTGTTTTTGCTTCGTCACAAACTTCTAGTTTTGGCTACAAAAAGGCTGTTTAACAATTTTGTTGCTCAGAAAAATACATATTTTAATTGTATGGAATTTTACTATATATATATATATATATAGACCGCCATGGCCAAAAGTTTTGGCAGTGACACAAATGTTGTGTTTTGCAAAGTTTGCTGCTTCAGTATTTGTAGATTATTATTATTCCACGTTTCTATGGTACACTGAAAAACAATGATAAGCATATCATAAGTTTAAAAGGCTTTTACTGGCAAAATAATATAACGAGTCAGTATTTAGTGATGACTCTTGTTCTTCGTAACCTCAGCAGTTCGCTCTGGCATGCTGGATATCAGCTCCTGGGCCAAATCCTGACTGATGGCGATCCAGTCTTGCCTTATTAGTTCTCAGAGTTGATCACAAGCTTCTGCTTGTCCACTCTAGAGCTGAAGATCTTTGCCTGGCTCAATTTGTATAATTTTACACGGGCTCGGGCTTGTGCGGTAAATGAGCGGTCATGTGATGCGTTTTGATTGGCGCGAGAAAGATGCGAAGCCATCTACAGTGGATTCAATCATTTTCCTCCACAAAAACATGTAGCCTAATCTTGGTGAGTAAAGGTTTTTTAAATTATAACTAAATATTAATTGAGTCTTAAATGCATAATGTAGACGGAGTATATAGGCTAATGTTGGCATTATTCTTCTATTAAATTTCAGCTGCTGTTCACCGTCGTAGAGGCCGGATTGTGGAGAGAAGTGGCGAAGCAAATCCCGCGGAGCCTTTATCTTAATTTCATTATTGCCAAATACCCATCTTAATTTAGAATTTATCTTAATTTAATTTAAGAAAGACTAATTTTTATTGGCGCGTTGGCCTATTTATTGGCTAAGTGTATGCGTAGGCCTATTTAGAGTGCTGAGATGTTACAGAGGACTTATTTTATTTCTTTGTTCCAACTTCCAAGTGGCCTATAGCCTACGTTAGTCATGAATAAATTGTTAAAACATGTATAAATGACTCATTCTTAACAAACGGCAAAAGAGCTGTGTGCGTGCGCACATTCTAATAATGTTGGACTGTAAACGGGTTCAGGCTTTTAAAAAGCTGTCAATCAAAATGTACTTGTCGGGCCTAACTTTTAAGGCCCGATTACAGCTCTAGTCCACTCGCCTTTTGAGGACTGACCACAGGTTCTCTATGGCAGGGGCATAGATTACTTTTAATATCAAGTAAATTCGTCCCCCGCACTTTTTCGGGCACGTGTGTTCGTGTAGAGGTTTTCAAGAGCCGGTGTGAATACATATAGATTTAAATTCAAAGAGACTGGATAGTCTGTGCATGATCTGATGTTTTATTCGGACCCAGAATAAGGCGAGATGAACATCGCGAAGCGCTAAACACTCATGCAGTGTGTGTTTCATTCATACTCGAAGCCGGGGGCGCTCTCCGCAGAAAGTCGTACGAGGAAATCCCTAATATAGACAAAAGCTTCCAGCTATCGCTGTATGAAAACAGTTGTTTTCACAGAAAACAGAAACGTTTGGAAACATGAAGACATTAAACATACGATTGCGACAATATGGTTTATCTGTGTTTGTCAAGTCATCTCCAGGTACTAAATAAAGTATATGAACAATGCAGTGCTAACTGACATAGCATTTATTACAGTACTGAAACTATTCTGCCTTATTATGTGATAGTGTTTGTAGTATATAAACAAATCATTATTATTGGTTGTTGTCCAGCAGTTCTCTGATTTCTAAGCCAATTAAAAGCTAGAAATGAGAGAAAATTTTAAGTTGCTTATACACGACCAGTCAAAAGTTTTACTGCTCTTTGGATCAAATAAATGCAGGCTTGGTGAGCAGAAGAGACTTCTTTATAAAACATTAAAAATCTTACTGTTCAAAAACTGTTGACTGGTAGGTTATATAGATTACAGAAATGTTATATTGTAATGTTTTTATATATATATATATAACATTTCTGTCCCCCTCACTTCTGAAATGATGGCTACGCCCCTGCTCTGTGGGATTGAGATCCGGGGAGTTAGTTTAGTTCCCAGGTCATCTACAAGATCGATTAAAATGCTGATCAATTCAAGAAAAGATGAGATGTAAACACATGAAAGTATGATTGAAATGTAAAAAAAATAAAACATGTTTATTGTGGCACCTAAAAAAATTATTTGGCACCTAAAATTTTTTCTTATAGGAGCCAATGGCTCCTTACTCGATTTTTTTGTTTGGAGCTCTGATGTGTGTATATATATATATATATATACAGTATCTCACAGAAGTGAGTACACCCCTCACATTTTTGTAAATATTTTATTATATCTTTTCATGTGACGAC